TGTCGGCATGGTTCCCCTTCTGACACTCTTACTCACTCAGATGGATAAAGGGGCAGCCATTGCGAATGTTCTTCTTGAGGGATGGTCGTGGCATTTTGGAAGCCAGACCGTGGCTCGAGCCTGCCAGGCGCTTGCTCTGCTGGCCGGGCAAATCTCGCTGGACGTGGTGTGCTACAACTCCGGCATCAGCGCTTGCGCGAGCGCCTTCAGGCGCGCAGCTAGAGTGACATTTGCTCGGATTAGCTGGCCAGGGTTCTGAGTCCGTGTACGAAGCACTTACCCCGTAGAGATCCCAAGTGGTAAAGATGCAGGTCATATTTTCTGGTAGCATCGAGCCTTGACGATCCAGGGGGCCTCTTGTTGGTAAGCTGGCTACGGCGCTTTCAATGCTCACAAAGTAACCTTCATGTACATGATGTCCAACGAATAGTCCACCCAACTAAGCTTCATATCTCCACGGCTTAACTCTCACTTTTCTCAGGTTTCATTTTTCACCAACATCCCAGATGGTTTGCTCAGCTTTCAGGGAGGGTTCAAAAGGAGGGTTCCAGGAGGTTGCCTTTGGGCCGTTGTTGGGGATACCACCTGGGTTTCATCTTAGAGGGAACTGAGGCACTTTTTCGGCGAACGGAGAACAATTAATCCGAAGGCTTGCAATTCCCCAGTTGAGCCAGAATCAAGCCTGAGATCCCCTTGTGTTTGCTCTTTGGTTTCCCCATACCATCCAAAAAGGAAACACTATTTTGAGAATCACCTCTGGTTTGGGTAGACTTTGATTTCCTTCTTAGGGCTTCCTTTATTTTCCCTTTCCGCCACCTTGTTTCGTCGCCGACCGCTGGCCCGGAAATCCGGATCTGCAGGTGGCAAGCGGCCGTGGCGCTGCTGGTTTCGGCCATAGCCACCGCTCGCCCCGATGTGGTGAGCTTCAACTCAGCCATCAGCGCCGCAGACAAGGAGCGCCCCAAATCGATCCATCCATCGATCCTTGGGGGCTCGGGGTCTTGGGCCTGGGGGGTCTTGGGGCTCTCAGGGCAAAGTGTTTGGCGTCTCTTTTTCCGAACATTCCCCCCTTTTTGGAGCGGCCGACTTTTTTCTTTTCCACCGGGAAAGTCCACATGCCCCGGGGTTGTTTTTTGCCGCCAGCAAAATCGCCAACTACTTTCCGGGGGCCGCCGAAAACCGATCGCCACGCTCCGGAGCCGGAGCTGGACTTCAGGCGAGCCAGTGGCAAGAGGCGCTGGGCCTGCTGAAGGCGCTAGGCCAGGGGTCGGAGGGTCGAAGGATCGATTTCCGTGGGCAGGAATTGGGGGAGGGGGGATTTCGACCCCTGGAGGTCTCCATGGGTTCCATTTTCCCTGTGGGGAAGACTAGAGAAATGGAATTGGGGACCCACCCCCCTTCCCCTTAAGGTAGGCGGAATCCTGACCTGTTGCTTTTTGGCGTTTAAACAGGGAAACTAGAAGGAACACCCGTGCGTCGTTTTGGGCGCCCCAGAAAAGGACACCCACAAATAAGAGGTGGTTTGGATTTGGGTCGGTTTTGAGGGTTCCACTGTTGGACTACCCCTGACAAAATCAACCACTCCCAGGGTCAAAAGGTGGAATCCTGGCCGTTTTGGAAGTTAAGAGGGAAACCAGCAGAAAACCACGTGTTTGGAGGGTTCACCTTTGAGACAAACCCACCTGTTCTTTGACTCATTGACCCGTTATTTCTTGGCTCCCTTATCGCGATTACAGCTTGAGGGTGTTCAAGATTATCTTTACGGGGGTGGTGCCCCTTACCGTGATACTGTGGATGGACAAAACCCCTGCACCAGTTTGAATCCATGGTTGAAACCGTTGTTGGTTGGTATTTACAAGCGAATCATCAGAAACCAGGGTTCTGAACGGTGGTGCACAAAACACTTTTAGGATTTCTGTTGTTTGTCCGGAAAGCATGGCGAAGGGTTCTTCCGTTGGGTTCAGGGGAGTTATCATCATGAGAGTCATTGCACAGAGACATAGCGCAGAGTCATTGCACGGAGTCATTGCACAGAGTCATTGTGCAGAGAGTCACTTGCGAGGCGCAATGCTCGTGAGAGTTGGGAGCGCAATGCTCGTGAGAGTCACTGGCGAGGAGCAATGCTCATGAGAGCCACTTGCGAGGAGCCATGCTCATCAGAGCTCTTCTTAGGGTGGCGGGGTAGGGCCGACAGCACTCTACGAAAGCCAACCCTCTGCGGGGATCAGCGTGGTCGACGTTAAAACACTGAGGACATTTTACGATTTCTGCGGCGCGCGCGACCTTCTGCGGAGATCGGCGTGGTCGATGCGGTGCGCGCGCGACCCTCTGCGGAGATCGGCGTGGTCGATGTCAAAAACAGGACTTTTTACGATTCCCGCGGTTCGCGCGCGACCCTCTGCGGGGATTGGCGTGGTCGATGTCCAAAAACTGAGGACTTTTTATGATGCTTAGTCTGCGCGCGCGACCCTCTCCGGAGATCGGCGTGGTCGATGTTAAAGAAGCTGCGGACTTTTCTCGGTTTTTAACATGCCTGAGGCCTGAGCGACCCTCTGCGCAGATCGGCGTGGTCGAAGCGCTGTTGCTGTGGCGTCGTGTGAATTTGCAAAGCGCCCGATGAACCCTCTGCGGGGATCGTGCGTGTCGAAGCGCTCTCGCTGTGGCGCCGTGCGAATTTGCTGCTTGCGAACTGGTCTTTGGAAGTTGTCGCGTGGTTTGCGCGGCTGCTCTCGGAGTCGCACGGGATCCCCGCCTGGTCTGCGGTAGCTTTTCTAGACAGAAATCGCAACTTTTAAGTGCAAACGTATTGCCCGGAGTGCAGTCCTGCAGCCCCGGCTGCATAATGGAACTTTTCAAGTAGAAAACTGGTATGCGAAGTACTTCCCGAAAGCTCCGGCAGCACTTGCGCAGAGCAACTTGCACAGAGCGCTTATGCAGAGCAACCTGCGCAAAGCAACTTCCACAGAGCACTTGCACAGAGCAGCAAGCACAGGGCAACTTGGGCAGAGCAAAAGTCAGGTTGTTCCGTTGGGAGAAATATTATCATGAGAGTCTTGCACAGAGTCATGATGACAGCCATTGCATAGAGTCATCACACAAGAGACATTAAAGGGAGTCATCACGAGAGTCATTGCACGTCATTGCACAGAATCATCATGAGAGTCCTTTTTTCGGAGTCATCATGAGAGTCATTGCGCAGAGTGATTATGAGAGTCATTTGCGTTGTAATCACTGTTTTGCATGAGGGCGGTGTATGTATCATCTTTGACGTGCTTGGCAAACTTGTGTGAGGGGGGCAAGATAGCAGGAACAAGGTTAGTTGCTGGGACTTGTCGTTGTGTATTGCTCGTGACCAGGTCAGGTTTTGCAAATCTGTGGCAGTGCTATCTCAGCATCGGCTCAAGCGCATATCATGGAGCGCGAAGTAGCTAGACTCCAGGCAGGCGCGGCTCGTCATGGCCTGCCGTGGCTTGAAGGGGAAAACGCAGCCAAGCGCAAGAAGAGAAGGACATGGTCTGGGGCCTGCTCGCCACGGAGGTCGCGAGCAACAAGCGAAAGTGAAGTGCTCCTCTTCTTCCAGAGTAGAGGAAACGCCTTCGAAAGTGAAGTGCTCCTCTTGCTGTAGCTGATGGCTGTTTGTAGCTGACAGATTGCACATCGAGCAAAACACTTGCGCGGGAATGATCACGGGGCTGCGATGCTTTCGGGCCAACCATGGCCTATCTTTCAGCTAAACTGGTAACACCTAGTTGCCGGCAATATTTTTTTTTTTCGCATTTTGTGTTTGTGGTGTTGGTTGGGGCTGGCAGTTGTGCATGTGTGTTTCCTTACCGGTCAAGGAGAGTCGGGGCTCCTGCCGGATGTGATCAGCTACAATGCAGCCACCTAGTTGGTCAGTGGCATCACGTTTCTTTTGTCCGTTTTTGCGGGCCGTAGAGCAATGGGATAAGACATGTCCGCCTTTTTGGAGCTGGTCCCGGAATCAAAGTTCAAAGACCTGATGCCCTCCCACCAATGAACGTGGAACCTGATCTTCGGGTGTCCTGGTTTGAACCATTTTCCTTTTTGAAGGGAGCTATTGGTCCCGAACGTCGAACGGTTCCATGTGAAAAGGGTGGGAGGGGCATCTTGCTTGTGCTCAGCAGGGGATGAGGGAACGATCCCGAAAAAAAACAACAACACATCTCTTACTGAGCACCAGCCAGTAATTCTAGAAGTACGTTCCCCATTCTGTCCAGGGATCCTTCTTTCTAGAAAACCTCAAGAATGTTAAAAAGCAGCTCCGGCTTTTGAAAAGAACGGTGGTTGAAAAGAATGGAAAAGGACTCAACCCGTAGAGTAGTTGATGTTTCAAGGCCCATGGCAACTGCTGGACCCCCTTGGGGGTCGTCGTTTGCGGCTGGCATGGCCTCGGCTTGTCGGCTCGGACCGAGGCCATCAGCGCCTGTGAGAAGGCCAGTCGCTGGCAGTTGGCCATGTGCTGCTTGGAGGAGAAGCATACCCTTTCTTTGGGGCATTTTGCTTGGGATGTTCGGACTTTAACTTTTTGCCAACTTAGGGTTTTCCATTTTTAACCACTAAAAGTTAAACTTTTAGCAGGGGAGCAGAAAGCAGCCGAGCTTTGGCGCATTTTGCCAAGGGATATTGCCCTCCCTTCTAACATGGCACCTGACAGGGGGTCCCTTGAAGAGGAAAATGATCTTGATGCCCTCTAGCAGTTGTTATGTTAGTGGGAGGGAGGGTAGGACGGAACAATTTTTTGCCAGCGAATTTGGGTTTTCCACACTAACCACTAAAAGTTATTCACTTTTAGCAGGGGAGCAGAAAGCAGCCAAGCATATTAGCCCAGGGCCGGCCTGTCTATTCATGGGGGCTGGGGGGAGGGAGGGGAGGGGAGGGGAGGGAGCCCCAACAAGCCCCAAATAAGCCCCAACCCAGTAGTTGATGTGGCCGTGGGTCAAAACCCATGAGATATCATGGGGCTAGGTGAATTCACCACCCATTCCTATTTTAGTGGTTGGATTGAATCGGATGTTCACTGGGGGTATAGGCTTTTGACAGCCAAATGCCCCAGGGCCGGTCTATCTCCTTGAAAGAATGGTATGCTGCCAGGCCAGGTGGAGGCCTGTTTTCCATTTTTACGGCAAATCGCGGTGGGGAAAAAATATGCCAGAAATAAACTGTTTGAAAAACCAATTGAACGATGAGAACCATGTGGGCTGTTCTGCGAGAGTGTTTTTTGTGATCTCTGCCGCGCGAGGTTTGTTTTGGTCTCTGCCGTGCGCTTCTTTGCCCTTCAGCGTGGTGAGCTACGGCGCGGCCCTGGCTGCGTGCCCACCCGGCGAGAGCCAGCTGCTGCTGCGGATGATGCGCTCAGCCAGGGTGCGGCCCAACCTGGTCCACTACGGCGCCGCGATCAGCAGGAGCCATTGGAGGATGGGGTTGAACGGGAAGGGGTTCTTTGAAGTGTAAGGGTATGCGCATATGTTGGTGCATGCTTATTTTGTATTTATAAGTATGTGCCAAGGGTTGCATGGCCAGTTCCCCGATTGGGAGAAGCGGTTGACATTTTCAGGATGAGCATTTGGCTGCTCGGGTGCATGAGACTGGACCAACTCACTGCGGACGTGATCACTCTCAACAGTGCAATGTCTAGCTGCCAGGGGGAGAAGCAGTGGCAGACTTCACTGCTCCTGCAGAGCGAGCGGCCATTAAGCACCTGCAGTCCTGCCACTTACAGCTCGGCAATTGGCGCTTGTGACGCCTCCCACTGGTGGCTTGCGGCTGCCTTGTCAGCTAGGATGCGTCATGAGACTGTGGAGCCCAATGCGTTGAGCTGTGCGGCGGTCATGAGCTCTTGGGCAGATGCTGTGCCTTGTCTTCTAGCGCGTTTTCCCAGTTGGCCGGTCGTGCCAGCCTGCACGTCGCACACGTCTGAGGCGAGGTGGGAATCGGCCCTGTCGTGCACGGAGTTTGCGGGGCTGGCGCTTCACCTCGCCAGCTGCAACGCGGCCATCACCTGCTGCCTGAAAGGTGGGCACTGGCAGCTGGGGCTGCGGATCTTGCACAGCATGCAGAAGGCACAGCTCAGCCCAGATGTCGTCAGCTACACTGCTGTCATGAGCGCTTGCCGCTCCCTGGCGAAGTTGGGGGAATTGATTTGGCCTGTCATGCTGAAATGAGAACAAGTATACAATTTGCGTCCTTTCAGAAGTGCCATTTGCAGTTGCAAGCCTTTGAGCGACTCCGTTTCGTTTGTAGGTAAGGAGCACGTTCCTTCGAATGCTCGCAGACTCGGTGGCAAGGATAAATTGTCCAGGCCCTTTGGTTGCAAGAAAGTTATCATTCCAGCCGCCGTCTATGCCAAGGCTTGCGCGGCAAGTGGCGCAGTGCCCTCGTTCTCGTGCAGATCATGGAGGAGAAAGCCGTGCTTCTGAACACCCTGAGCTACACTGCAGCCATCGGCTACCCCAACTCAATAGCAACACGCGGTGTTCAATTCGCTTTTGTCCAGCTTTCTGTCAGGTTGATACTTTTCAAGGCGGAGAGCTAAACCTTGGCTCCTTGTCCTTCTTTTGCCCTTGCTTGAGCTCTAGCGGGAAAACTCCTTCAAGAAGAGATTCAGCCTCAGCCGGGAAAAAAAAGAAAGAAGCAAACCAAAAAACCGACCAAACAAAAGCAAGAAGCAAACAAAAAAAAGCAATCAACAAAACAAAAACAATAAGCAAACCAAAAAAAGAAAAACAAAAACAAGAAGCAAACCAAAAAAACAAAAACGCAAACAAGAAGCAAACCAAAAAAAACAAAAACCAAAAACCGGAAGCAAACCAAAAAAACAAAAACAAAAACAAGAAGCAAACCAAAAAACCGACCAAACAAAAACAAGAAGCAAACCAAAAAACCGACCAAACAAAAACAAGAAGCAAACCAAACAAAACAAAAACAAAAAAACAAGAAGCAAACCAAACAATCAAAAACAAAAACAAGAAGCAAACCAAAACAAACACACAAACAAGAAGCAAACCAACAAAAAACAAAAAACAAAAAAGCAAGAAGCAAACCAAAAAAACAAAAACAAAAACAAGAAGCAAACCAAAAAAAACAAAAACAAAAACACAAGAAGCAAACCAAAAAAATCAAAAACAAAAAACAAGAAGCAAACCAAAAAAACAAAAACAAAAACAAGAAGCAAACCAAAAAAAACAAAAACAAAAACAACCAGCAAACCAAAGAATCAAAAAGGAAAACAACCAGCAAACCAAAAAAACAAAATCAATAACCATAAGCCCACCAAAAAAAACAAAAACAATAAAACAAGAAGCAAACCAAAAAAAGAAAAACAACAACAAGAAGCAAACCAAAAAACCGACCAAACAAAAGCAAGACGCAAACCAAAAAACAAAAACAAAAACTAGACGCAAACCAAAAAAAACAAAAACAAAAAAACAGGAAGCAAACCAAAAAACAACAAAAACAAAAACAAGAAGCAAACCAAAAAACAACAAAAACAAAAACAAGAAGCAAACCAAAAAACCGACCAAACAAAAACAAGAAGCAAACCAAAAAACCGACCAAACAAAAACAAGAAGCAAACCAAACAAAACAAAAACAAAAAAACAAGAAGCAAACCAAACAATCAAAAACAAAAACAAGAAGCAAACCAAAAAAACAAACACACAAACAAGAAGCAAACCAAAAAAAAACAATAAACAAAAAAGCAAGAAGCAAACCAAAAAAAACAAAAACAAAAACAATAAGCACACCAAAAAAAACAAAAACAAAAACACAAGAAGCAAACCAAAAAAAACAAACACAAAGCCAACACGTTCCGCGGCTCAGGCTGCCAGCCCTGGCGACTTGCGGTCCGGCTGGCCTTTGGTAGAGGACTCGAGGGACTCGAGGGACTCGATGTGACGGGGTGGAGCGCCGCCATGGGCAGCTTGCAGAGACGTCGGTGGTCAAAACCGTTGTGGTGACTCCCCATTTTGGTTCGGGTTGGGTGAATTCACCGCCCATTTTGGTCGATTATTTTGGGGGGTGTTCGGCGCACCACCCATTTTAGGTTTCCTGTTTTAGTGGTTGGATTGAATCGGATGTTCACTGGGGGATAACCAGGCTTTTGACCCATGGCCAAGTGGTCTGTTGGTTTCGTCAGGAGACTAGGTCCCCCAGCGAACGGTGCCCGACCTCTCACCCCTTTTTGGGTTGGGAGGGTTTTGCTACAGGAGCCACTTCTGGAGGACCTAGTTCTTTTTGGAGAACAAGAGATCCTTTTGGGGGAGGGTTCCCCTATATAGACTACCGGAAAAAGAGGGTACCAACTTATTGTAACCTGTCTGGAGGACCTAGCGGAGAGGCAGTGTCAGCTCTTGCCCGATTTTGTTGGCTTCGCAGGTTTTTTTGTTTGCCTTTTTTTCCCGTTGCGTTTGCTTTTTCGTTTGGCTTCGTTTGCTTATCTCGTGAGTCTGTCCTTTTTGTGCTTGCTGGTTTGGGCTGTTCTGATGTGGTACCTCTGGCCCCAGGCAGCTGCCAGAGGGCCCACCGCTGGCTCGCCGCGCTGCGCCTCTTCGCCCGCGTCCCAAGCGCCGACGCCGCCGCCTTAGACGCTGCCGCGGCGGCGGCGTCCGGCGCCGCCGTCGCTTCGGTGCCGAAGTGGCTGGAGGCGGCTGGACGGGAGGGCACCATGGCAGCCCGGGCGGCCGTAGGACTGCCAGGCTGGGCCCAGCGGAAGCCTAACTCGGGGTTTATTTATTTCATTCATTCCATTCCATTCCATTCCCTTCCGTTTCATTCCATTCCATTCATTTCATTCCATTCCATTCCATTCATTTCATTCCATTCCATTTCCTTCCATTCCGTTCCATTCCATTCCATTCCATTCCCTTCCGTTTCATTCCATTCCATTCCCTTCCGTTTCATTCCATTCCATTCCATTCCATTCCATTCCATTCCATTCCATTCCATTCCATTCATTCCCTTCCCTTCCCTTCCGTTCCATTCCATTCCATTCCCTTCCGTTTCATTCCATTCCATTCCATTCATTTCATTCCATTCCATTTCCTTTCATTCCGTTCCATTCCATTCCATTCCATTCCCTTCCGTTTCATTCCATTCCATTCCATTCCATTCCATTCCTTTCATTCCATTCCATTTCATTCCCTTCCGTTCCATTCCATTCCATTCCATTCATTCCATTCCATTCCATTCCATGCATTCCATTCCATTCCATTCCCTTCCGTTTCATTCCATTCCATTCCATTCCATTCAATTCAGTCATTCCTTCCTTCCTTCCTTCCTTCATTCATTCATTCATTCATTCATTCATTCATTCATTCATTCATTCATGTTTTTATTCGTTCATTTTTTATTCATTCATTTTTCATTTGTTCATTTGTTCATTTGTTCATTCATTCATTCATTCATTCATTCATTCATTCATTCATTCATTCATTCATTCATTCATGCATGCATGCATGCATGCATGCATTCATTCATTGATTCATTCATTCATTCATTCATGCATTCATTGATTCATTCATTCATTCATTCATTCATTCATTCAGTCAGTCAGTCAGTCATTCATTCATTCATTCATTCATTCATTCATTCATTCATTCATTCATTCATTCATTCATTCATTCATTCATTCATTCATTCATTCATTCATTCATTCATTCATTCATTCATTCATTCATTCATTCATTCATTCATTCATTCATTCATTCATTCATTCATTCATTCATTCATTCATTCCATTCCATTCCATTCCATTCAATTCATTCATTCATTCCTTCCTTCCTTCATTCATTCATGTGTTTATTCATTATTTTTTTATTCATTCATTCATTCATTCATTCATTCCATTCCATTCCATTCCATTCCATTCCATTCCATTCCATTCCATTCCATTCCATTCCATTCCATTCCATTCCATTCCCTTTGTTTCATTCCAGTCCATTCCATTCAATTCATTCATTCCTTCCTTCCTTCCTTCATTCGTTCATTCATTCGTGTTTTTATTCATCCAATTGTTTTTTTATTAATTCATTTGTTCATTCATTCATGCATGCATTCATTCATTCATTCATTCATTCATTCATTCATTCATTCATTCATTCATTCATTCATTCATTCATTCATTCATTCATTTATTGATTCATTCATTCATTCATTCATTCATTCATTCATTCATTCATTCATTCATTCATTCATTCATTCATTCATTCATTCATTCATTCATTCATTCATTCATTCCAGTCATTCCGGTCATTCCGGTCATTCCATTCCATTTCATTCATTTCATTCATTCCATTCCATTCATTTCATTTCATTCCATTTCATTCGTTTATTTCATTCATTCATTCATTCATTCATTTTGTTCATTCATTCATTCATTTGTTTATTCATTCATTTTTTGTTTATTATTTATTCATTCATTCATTATTTTTTTCATTTATTCAGTCATTTCATTCCATTCCGTTCCTTTCCATTCCATTCCATTCCATTCCATTTCATTTCATTCCATTCCATTTCATTCATTCATTTATTCATTCATTCATTCATTCATTCATTTATTCATTGTTTTTTTTTGCTTGGGGGTGGGCAAAAAGGGCTGTAGGTAGAAAGTGCTTGTAGATCTGGTTTATGGTTGGTTGTTAACGATTGCTTTTGTTTGTCTTCAAATGATTAAACACTTAGCTCGCCGGCTATCACTGCAGGTGGCTGATTGGCACGTGCCATGCCATCAGGCAGCAAAATTGACAGGGTGCTGCCAGCTTCTGACTTCCGACATGGAGATGTGACTTGCCTCATCCATGCAGACGCAGATAGGGCTTCGGGGAGCTAGGCGAGCACGGGGCTGGTTGCAGAAAGGCACCGCCTGGACGGTTGGCAAACCAAGACGGGCTAGCAACTTGGATGCAACTTGGCAGCTACTTCGGCACTACATCTTGAGCCTGCTTGCTGGAAGTTCTTGGCTTGGGCGTCTGACGGTTGGAAAGCGCTCTCGGCTCCCGTTTCTTGCACGAACAGTGGCAGAGATCTCAGTCGAAAATGGCTGCCTTAAGCAGCAGCTGGGCCAAGCACAAGTCCAAGCGTGCGGGAAAATGTCTCGCTGGCTTCGGTTTGATCGCCCGGCGGCGATCCCCAAAACCTGGCCAGGAGGCGTTGCTTGAGGATTGTTCTTGGATGCGGGGAGGGTTTCCACGCTCGTGCGTTGGGCTGATGCTCCAAAAACAACTCGTGGCCAATCAATGACAGCGCCGCTGTTTTTTTAACCAAGACGGCGGAAACGGTCTGATGTTCAATCCACCGGTCAGAAGCACATTGGGCGTTAAACATGTGACACGTGACCCCTCCCCATCCCCCAAAGTGAGGCTTGGACAAGGCTCTGTCGGCATCCATAGGTTCTTGCCCAGGCCTAGCGACCATAGCTGTGTGAAGAGCACCCTGGATGGTGCTCCATAGGGTGTGCAAATTGGTACACAAACCAAGATATGGGTCAGTATTTTTTTTACGCCGAACCATACCCTCGAATCATACCCCGAACCATACCTGCCCTTCCTACCCCCTATTGCAACTTCCCGGCGCAGGCACGTCAAAAACTCCATGCCCTAACATGTCAAGGCTCAGCAGCCTTTGCTTTGCAAATGGACCCCAGGCCAACATGCCGACCAGTTCTGTGAGTTCAGGCACCTGTTTTGCCGCTGTGACCCTGGCTTTGGAAGCCAACCGGAACTGAGCCCACGTTTCCCCTTGCGATCCATCCCTGGCTAGCATCAAGAAAGAGCACGACAGACAAGTATCCGGGTAAACCAACTCCTGGATATAGTCTTGGAGAACGGCTCTGACATTCTCTTGTTTTCTTTGCGCTTCCGCACCTTGGTTTGGGTGTCCGAAGTGGTTCTTTTTTCCACACGCCCCTATAAAAAAGCAACCCTTGAGCGGGTTGGAGCCTGGGTGCTTTGGATCTGGCTGATCGAGGGCGAATGGGAAACTTTCAAGATCCAAGCCCCGGGGTCCCGGGCTCCAGTCCTCAGAGAACCGGCTGGGTTTGGATTGGTTTGGATTGGTTTGGATTTGGATTTGGATTTGGATTTGAAGCCCTGGCTGTTGCAGAGAACGGAACACCGACACGTGCCCCGCATTGGTTTGGACTTGTGGCTTGGATTCGGCGTTTGTGGGGGGTCAACGGGAAACCACTCCCCCAACCACGAAACCACTGGGAGGCTGAAATTCGTCAACTTGCTGGTTCTCAGCAGGGAATAAGGAAATGACCCCTCTAAGCTTCCTTTTTTCAGGACTCCCCTTCTGGTTCCTTCCCAGTCTCTACAAGTCAAGCCAAGGACGAGCCATTGCCGAGTTGGCAAGTTTGCTCGCTTTGGTAAGTCTTTCTGTTTTTGAGTGGAACAGAGTTGACTTGCTACTGGTGCTTCGTGCGGCACACAAGTCATGGAAAGCCGTCGTGCATTTCAGATTCAAAGTCTTGTTTTTTGTTCTTTCTTTTTTCTGTATCCTGTATCCCCGTTCCCTGCAAGTCAAACCACCTATAAACCATCCCTTTTTGGGGGAATCGATTCCCTTCCGGTTCATTCCCAGTCCCAAGTCGAACCCCCACATACATACATACATACATACATACATACATACAGACAGACAGACATACATACATACATTAAAAAAAAAACAACAACAACAACAACAACAACAACAACAACAACAACAACAACAACAACAACAACAACAACAACAACAACAACAACAACAACAACAACAACAACAACAACAACAAAAAAAAAAAAACGCTGCTGCCACTCCACGCCTTTTTTCGCCAGGCCTGCGGGGCGAGGTCCAGACCTCGCGGTTTCTGAGCGGGGAGCAGTGCCTGCGGGTGGCCCAGACGGCGGTGGGCAGCGACGCCAGCGACGCCTGGATGCTGGGCTCCCTCTTCCAGAGCCCCCCGGAGCGAGGAGAAGACGGGGCTCAAAATGGCCCCATAGTTCCACCCAGAGTCCACCCGAAATCCACCCGAAATCCAACTTTGGTGGGGGTATTCCGCCCTAAATCCACCCGAAATCCCACTTTGGTGGGGTTAATCCAACCTAAATCCACCCGAAATCCCACTTTGGTGGGGTTAATCCAACCTAAATCCACCCGAAATCCCACTTTGGTGAGGTTAATCCGCCCTAAATCCACCCGAAATGCAACTTTGGCGAGGTTAATCCGCCCTAAATCCACCCGAAATGCAACTTTGGCGACGTTAATCCGCCCTAAATCCACCCGAAATGCAACTTTGGCGACGTTAATCCGCCCTAAATCCACCCGAAATCCCACTTTGGTGGGGTTCATCCGCCCTAAATCCACCCAAAATCCAACTTTGGTGTTTTTTTTTATCCAACTTTGGTGGGGTGTTTTTGTGGCACTCACATGGAGATCGACGACCCTTTCCTGGCCTCACTTCACTTCTGACCGTCTGACAATGTCTGACCCCTCCATCCCTGCCCCTGTGCTTTCCTTCAGTGGGATATAAGAAGGGGGTTTGATTCCCCCCTCCCACTAACACCCGACAGAGGTTCCCTTTCTCAGGAAACTGATCTTCCTGGTACCTTCCCGCAGGTGCTATCTTTGGGAGGAAGGGTATCTGTGGTTTCTAGCACTCAGGTTCAGGGTTCTACTTTTTGACCCCAAGCTAGACTTCAACCCAGGGGTTTTGCTTTTGGGGAAATCAACCACTGGGTGTAACTCATTTTGGCGGTCAAAAGGTAGAACCCTGATAAACAAACGTCAGGCTTCGGAATGGTGAAGACTGCCGGCCAGTTCGACGGCAACGTGGAGGCGACATGGGTCTGCCGACGCACTCGCATGCCATCTGTCTAGGTTCGCTATCCTGGCGTTCCTTGAGTTAGGTCTTGGACAGTTTGTCCTTTTTTCTGAGGGATCTTGCTTTTTTGCAGTATTCTGGTGGCATTTGTTTTTAACGTTGAATGTAGCTCGTGCTAGATTCTTTGTTATGAATCAATCTCACCATTTGGCCCAGCTCTGGCCTTGTCCCTACATGCATCACGCACAGCCACGCCAAGCTCAGCAGTTCTTTAAGAAAACTTGCCATCGCTGCGTTGCGAGTGAAAGGATCTAGGTGAAGGACCGTAGTTAGTTTGACTTTTCTCTGCGGATGGCAGGCTTGGAAGAAAGACCAACTGATTTGGTCGGCCTACGCTGATAGACAATGACATTGCCATGAAGCACGCGACCTCCCGTTTGAAACGATCAGTTGATGCACGTTGGGTAACGTTGCTTTGGTTGTTGCGGTGTGGCTACTTGGGGCAAGGCTGTCAAGGAGGAAGGACTGATGAAGCGTCTTGCTGCACATCCAAGCTTGACAACATATGGGATCATCCCCCACGGGCATCGCCGCAGCACGCATGTCAGGTTCCACGACCAGATGCCAGGTGCATGTCTTTTGCTAGTTGCATGCATGTGATAGGAGAAAGGGATTGAGAGCAGGCGCTTTAGGAAATAGTTTTGTGCAGCCAGCTGAAGTCGCTTCAGTAGGTCGCAGGTGCACCCGCCTTCATGCGATGAGGCCAATGGCGTTATGGCCACTTTGGATCCCCCTGAAGCGGTCCTTGTTGCAGGGGCTCACTGCCTCGAGCCTCGGTTTTTTTGAGCCGCGGTACCCCTTTCCTGGTGGGCGTTAATTTTAAGGGGGAATACTTCTTTTTTTCCTTCGGTGGGGGGGATATTGAGGGGAATAACTTATCTTCTTTTTCTTCTTTTGGGGGGGGGCTTTAAGAAAGACACTGAAATCAAGGAACCTTGGACTGTGCTTCCAGGTCTTTTTTCGCAGCGGGCCTGTGAGGCCCCGTGGGGCTGTGACTGGACAGGAGCTGGTGCACTGGCTGGTCTTCACCACGTGCCTGGTTCAGCGGATCCTGGTGGAGCGCTGGAACGAGACCTTGCGCAGTCACTTCGAGCGACGGAAGGCGGGGAAAATGCTTTGGACCTTCCGGCCATCCGGTTTAGTGGTGGTCTCTATTCAACCCACGAAAAGTGAGTCACTTCACTTCTAGCAGGCGATCTGAAAACTGCTCTGAGGACTTGCCCCTAGAGGTCCTTTGAGCCAATGGCATTCCAACGGGGCCAATGAATCTGGCACACCCAGCTTTTGATCACATGGGTTACGCCTCAACTGTGGCGCAGTTTGCCAAGGGATGTTAGGACTTGAACTTTTTGCCGACTAATGGGTTTTCCGTATTAAACTTGTAGCAGGGGAGCAGAAAGCAACCCAGTCAAGAGGTGCCAAACCCTTCAGAATCCTTGAGAACCTCGCATGGTTTTCCCCGTGCTACTGATGTCCGTGGTGCTTCGGTGGACATGTTGGCTTGATTTTGCTTGCCTCGCAGTGCGACTTCCGAATATTCGCGACACCTGCCGAATCATGGCAATGCCGAGCCACAAGTCAGACCAAGAAGCCTTGAACCGCCTCCAGTCAAGCTGTCTAGTAGCTTGCTTGTTTCGGAAGGGACCCAGCCAACCTAGTCTCAGGCAAGTCTGTAATGCAGAATGAGTAACCTAGTCAGGTGCCACCTGCTTGGTCTGCACGAAACGCATTGATCTGAGTCGTGCAAGAAGAACCGGGCTTTGGTACTGAAACACTGTTCAAACGTTCCGGGAACAAGCCAGCTTTTGAACCCTGGAATCATTCTTGATGGCACCCAAAATTTGGTTACACTCCGTTTTGCTAAGTCCCAGCGTTCCTTTGACAGAGCTGAAAGCACTTTGCAAGCAAGCACACTTTCGACGGCACGACGGGGGGCACAAACACATATGCCCACAGGCATACACAGTCGCAAACACAGTCATGTATGCATTTCTTTATAGCTGCACAAAGGTACGGTTTGTGTGTGTGTGTGTGTCATGCGTGTGCTGGGCTGACAGATTCGTCGTTTCTCAGGTGTGTGTGTGTGTGTGTGTGTCATGCGTGCAGGGGGGTCGATCATTTGTCCACGAAAGCTGGCAACAAGACCGCCTTGCAGCATGCGTGTGCTGGGCTGATAGATGGCGAGCCTACGATCCCCAGGCGCTTCTGGAGTTCCGCGCGCAGTGGTACGCGGAAAAGCTGGCGGCCTCGCGCCAGGTGCAGTTGTCCATGTGGGACACCAAGCGCCAGGCCAGGCTGAAGGGTGATGCATGTTGCTTGGATGTTAGGATTTCTAGCTTTTTGCCAACTAATGTGTTTTCCACTAAACCCCCAAAAATTAAAACTCTTTGCAGCGGGGTCAAACCAAGGGTTTTGGCAATGCGAGAGATGTGGAGAGGGATGTAGGCCAGAGTTGGGTAGACAGAGTTGAGGGCGGAGGGTATGGCGAGAAGAGGAGCCCTAAGCAGGCAAAGGCAGCAACAGGGAGGCAGGTGGATTGGGCAACTTCTCCCCATTCTCTCTATGTCTCTTTGTCTCTCTTTCTCTTTCTCTTTGTTTTCTTCTCTTTCTCTCTCTCTCTCTCTCTCTCTCTCTCTTTCCCTTTTTTCTTTGTCTTTTTTCATTTATCTTTCTTGTTCTCTTTATCTTTCTCTGTTTCTGCCTTTCTCTTTTTCTGTCTCTTTCTGTCTCTTTCTGTCTCTTTCTTTCTTTCTTTCTCTCTTTCTCTCTTTCTCTCTTTCTCTCTTTCTCTCTTACTATCTTTCTTTCTGTCTTTATCTCTGTCCCTCTGTCTCTCTGTCTCTCTGTCTCTCTTTCTCTTTCTCGTTTTCTTTCTCCTTGTTCTCGTTCTGGTTCTCTTTCTTTTTCTCCCTTTCTTATTATCTTTCTGCCTTTCTCTCTTTCTCTTTTTTCCCTATTTCTCTCTTCCTCTCTTCCTCTCTTGCTCTCTTTCCTCTTTTCTGTTTCTCTCTTTCTCTCTGTCTCTCTGTCTCTCGTTCTCTCTTTCTCTCTCGTTCTCTCTTTCTCTTTTTTTCTCTTGCTCTCTTTCTGTGTTTTTCTCTGTGTCTCGTTCTCTTTGTCTCTGTGTCTCTTTGTCTCTCCTTCCCTCTTTGTCTCTTTCTCTTTGTCTCCCTGTCTCAGTCTCTCATTATATTTGTTTGTTTCTTTCTCTTTCTCGATATTTCTCCCTTTTTCTCTTTGTATTTCTCTTTCTTTTTTGTCTCTTTCCACCTTTCCCTATGTTTATCTTTCTGTCTTTCTCTCTTCATCTCTTGTTTGTTTCTCTCTCTCTCTCTCTCTTTTGCGCTCTTCCTCTTTATTTCTTTTTCGTTCTCTCTTATTGTATCTTTCTCTTGTTCTCTTTTGTCTGTTTTGCTCCCTTTCTCTTTCTCTTTCTGTTTCTCTCTCTCTCTCTCTCTCTTTCTTTCTTTCTTTCTTTCTTTCTTTCTTTCTTTCTTTCTTTCTTTCTGTCTTTCTGTCTTTCTGTCTTTCTGTCTTTCTGTCTTTCTGTCTTTCTGTCTTTCTGTCTTTCTGTCTGTCTTTCTTTCTGTCTTTCTGTCTTTCTGTCTTTCTGTCTTTCTG